ATAGGGGTATTTATGTGATCTTAGACCCCAAATCTCAAGGTTTTCCACAGGCTGATGATCCAAATGTTTCAGATAAGTGTCATAAAAACTGCGGTATAATAGAGTAACCTGCGAACCGCTGTCAAGAAGAACTTTGGCGTAGATACCTTCTATCTGGACAGGCACTTCGGAGACAGGTCCTACTAACCCCTCAGGCAATTTTGGCTTATAGGCATCAAGCATGAATGAACCACAAGTGGAACGTGTTGTCTCAGGAGCCCCGTGCCGTTCCTTCACTGAGCTCCTGCCCAGTTTCCCTGCAGGCGCTGCATCTTTATCAGCTTCTGATTCACTTTTCTGAGGTCCTCAGGTGCTTTGCACTCCCACTTCTTATGTCCTTCTTCACCGCATTTGTAGCAAAAGATCACAGGCACTGGTGGCTGGGTGTGTTTAGCTTTTTGGGAGTTGTCTCGATTCACAATCTCAGAGTTTTGTAGCATCTCGACCAACCTGACACACTAATTTTTATTTGATTTAACAAATCAATTATTCATTACATTAACAAATCGTCACAGTCCCCTCACTCAATAAACTGGATGCCAGGGTTTCTGTTGAACACCATCCCCCACCCTGGTCACCATGACAACTAATCATGATATCACTGGTTTTATTACGCCCCCAGGAATGTGAGGAGGATAACCCATTCTGTGTCCCCAGGACAAACGCACAGTAGAAATTGACTTTTCTACTAATTAATTCATAGGAAAACCTTTCTTTGAACGAACACACATATTCTTCAGGCCAGTGTGTATATTATTGCTGTTTTGTATTAATCTGTTGTATTATAGACTATTTTTATTCATGCTTACGATAAACCACTCATTCATATAACCTTACATATAGCTTGTTTAGTATCTATGAATTCGCCTTCTGATGATCTAAACAAGAATGTATATTATTTGTTGGTACGTAGGCAATATATTAGTGCCCTGAGAACCTTTAGTATTTTCAATTCAAGTTCCAGATACTAAAGTACCATGTTTCCACACAAAGAGTCATAAACTCCACAGGATCTCAAAACGCCCACTTGGGATTCCGGCTTTTCTCATTGGATAAGCCCATCTTGAGAGGCGGGGATCTTCTCTGACCTTAAAGCTGACACACCATGTGACCGCCCCCAGTCGGTGGTTCGGTCATAAGCTAAGAATTTACGTTACAAGCTTATAGAATTGTACAGTAAGAAAGTTATTTCCCTTAACCAGGAAATTAACGTTCTTAGAATTGACAAGACAGTTGACCCTGAGTGGTCAGCTAAATATCTACAGTGGATCTAATATATGAATAGTTAATTATAACTAGTTATGGTTAATTATTCATATTTCCCCATGAGCTGATTCGCTACAGTTTTTACTAGGTGTTTTCTGAGGATCACAATCAGAAGCACAAGGCACAGTAGCCACGTTCAACAGTTGACTCACCTGGGTAGATAGCTCTTTAACCTCCTTCTTCAAGTTTTGTAATTCAGATGGCACATATGCCTGGGGAGAGACAACAGTGGCAACAGAAGCTTTAACATTTTCCCTTGCAGCTACCCAGTGTTCTTCCTCACGTATTTCCTTCATCAACTGTGAAAAAGATGGAGGACTCTGCAAAGTGTGAGTCATTCTGATTCGCAAAGCAACCATATCATTGGTAAGTGCTCACTTAATTAGCTGCTCCATTCTGGCTATATTTATGCCGACTGCATCAATCCCACCCTTCAACAAGGCTCTGTGGAGAAGTTTGTCTAGGCGGTACAAGAAAGCTGAAAGTTTCTCTCAACTTTCCTGGTAGGTGTGACAAAATCTAGCCATAAGGTCAGGCCCACTCTCAGTAGTTCCATATCCATTCTCAAGGGTAGCTAAGTACTCATTTGCAATTGCAGATGGATTACTTACTTTTAAAAACCTGACAATATCAGCAGCAGTACCTCGCAAACTCTCGATGATGCGTTGTTTCTTTGCAGATTCGGTACACTGCCATTCACTTATCATTTGAGCGGCCTGCTCCATCCAGATTTCATACTCTTCTTCACCTGGAGGGACAGGTTTCAGCCATGAAAACAACCTCAGCTTTCTGTAGCCGGGACTATCATTAGAAGCTTGGTTGCACCGATCTACTAATTTGCCTATGGCATCAATGAGGTCCACACTGATATCAGATTTGGGAGACTGCTTTCCCATAATCAGGACCTTCACTTCATCCATAGACTTACCCTCCTGCTGCAACAATGCTTGCAGCTTGAGCTGAAAGGTATCACCTTCAGAGGCAGGACCACAAGCTACTAGACTGCCCACTAAGTTGACACTCCAGGGTCCAGCTTCATTTTCTATACCTATCTCAGGAGGTATAACATCAGGTCCTAGATCAGCACTGGCCTCCACTAAAATAAACAACCATCTGCAAGTTACATCACCATGGCGACCATGTATTCTACTGCGACCAAAAGCTTTTACTGTGTTCAACACTTTTTCAATAGTGTCGTCACTAGTGTCTAAAGGAACGTTGCTCAATACAATGGCACGTGAGAGATTTGCATTCTCTTCTCTGCTCCACTCAACAGTCTTTGCCAGGTCCATAATTTTAAAAGTCAAGGCAAGTAACTGGTACTGGGGTGAAATAAACAGTTTTCAAATCTACTGTCACCGCTATACTAAATTATAAAGGAAAAGATAAAGAAAAACTCTGGTAAACAGGAGAGAAGAAAAAAACAATCCCAGCGATGCCTCCAAAAATGTAACCCTTTCCTTAACCCTAGGGGTTAATTTAATTATTTCTCTAACATGAATCCTGGATTCCCAGCAGTTGGATGGTGAATTAGGCCGGTAGTTTCTTTTTTTTTTTGTATTTACAAACAATCAATTGTAAAATGAATTTTCCTCCTGTACCAATTTTACTCTATTTACTAAAGATCAATTAAACAATTCTTATTTGCAATTCCCAAGAATTCAGTAACTTCTTAAATGATTTAACTTGCCAGACTCAATGAAATACCAAAGTACAAATGTTAAAGAGAAAAAGAATAACAAAGATTTATTTGTACATTAATGTAATAACATTACATTATTATTGTTAGTTCATTACATGGTGTTCTTTGATGAATTCAATGATGAACTGTCTTTAACTGAAAAATGAGTGTTTACTATTGTCATTTTGCATTATTGACACTATTTTCCTAATTAATGCTGTTCAGTTGCTTTGTCACAATCTGTATTGTTAAAAGCGCTATATAAATAAAGGTGACTTGACTTGACTTGACTTATTGTTAGGAAAAAATATATATTTTGAATAAATGTTGCCAACACTGATAATTCTAATAAAACATCAGCATATTATAATGATTTCTGAATGATCATGTAACACTTTAGACTGGAGTAATGGCTGATGGAAATTCAGCTTTGCATCACAGAAATAAATTATATTTTAAAGTATAATAAAATAGAGACCATTATTTTATATTGCAATAACATTTTGCAAGATTACTGTTTTTTCTGTGTTTTTAATTAAACAAATGCAGCCTTGATGAGCATAAGAGACTTCTTTTAAAAAAACATTACAAGTCTTACTGATCCCAAACTTTTGAACGGCAGTGTATGTATGTGTATGCATGTGTATGTGTATATATATATATATATATATATATGTGTGTGTGTGTGTGTGTAACATTATACCACAAGTGCAGTCGTGAGCAAAACTAAGAACACAAAGGAATGTTGCTTAAGTGACCATGCAATTTGAATAATTACATTTAAGCTTGCAGTAATTCTGTGAACATGTTTCAGTTCAGATATACAGAAAGCTGTACATGAGCTATACAGTACATTGTATTTGGTGAAGCCACAGTCTATTTTAAGAGTGAGATAGGCAGAACAACAACACCCACACAAATGACAAAATTTTCCGATATACAGCTAAAAGCTTTCTCACGCATACTGAAACAAAAGCGACTGACTAAAATCAAACATGTAGTAAAACCAGTTTAAAGCACTTTGTAATTTGTTCTTTAATTCACTGTTATGATATGAGTCATTAGAGCATATCAGCAGTGAGATACCTAAAATGACAAAAAAACGAAGAGTATGTGTCACTTTGTCATTTTCCCACAATTGATTTGTTCAGTGTTATTTAAAATGAGGTTCATTCTTTGCGTCGTAGCTGTTGTTAAGAAAAAATAAATATATATATATCATATATAAATATATGTGTGTGTGTGTGTGTGTGTGTGTGTGTTGAGAAAGTGACATTTGTGACAAAGTTTGAGCATTTCAAGAAAAGTTGAGTAGCTAGTGTAGATATATTGCTGCTTTTTTTGTGAACCTCAACATCGCCAAGGCTATAGCACAAATCACTAACAACATGCTTAAAAGCTTTGTACATAATTTTATTAATCTTACTTTTTTTAATGCATTCTTGCTGAATAAATATAAATAAAATAGTAAGTCTTAGGGCCCTATTTTAACGATCTAAGCGCATGGTCTAAAGCGCACGGCGCAGGTGCACTCAGGACGTATCCAAGTCCACTTTTGCTAGTTTAACGATGGGAAAATGGTCGGCTTGCCCAGGCGCATGGTCTAAACAGGTTGTCCCTATTCTCTTAATTAGTAATGGGTGTTTTTTTGGGCGTAATGTGCAATAAACCAATCAGAGTGTCATCTCGCCGCCATGGCAGGTTCGCTATTTACATGGCAGAAATGTTTGTGTACTGCTGCGTGTCCCTGTTTGTGTAATAAGGAAAGTGTACGCGCGTTGTGCATCTGCCTATAGGCACATATTACTAACGCGCTCTTTAAATGACAAAGAAAAAATATTGCGCCAGACTTTAGACCATGTTTTTGTTTGTCAATTTAACATTTGTAAAAAACACTTGTACCACGCCTTGCGCGTTGCGCCGGGTGTATGATAGGGCCCAAAATGTCAAAATCACTTGAGTGCCCTTAATAGTCACTAGAGGGCACTCCATACCATTCAGTTGCCACTGTGTCATAGACTTCATCTCCCATAATCCTTTTCCTGGACTAATTATCACTGATTGCATTCTCCTGTCTCATTAACCCTGTTAGCTCACTCTATAAAATCTGGTTAATTCAGCCATTCATGGCTAAGTCTTGCATGTGTCATATCTGTATTTCTAAGCCTTGTTTCCTGGTTTGTTTATTTGCCTGTTACTCTGGATTTCTCTATTGATTCAGCCCTGAACTCTGTCATTGTTTTGGATTGTCTGATTGTGTATGACCTTGGCCTGTTTTTTGACAATGTTTGTGAATTACTCCTTCAATAAATTGTGTTTGGATCTTCATGACAGAAAATTTAGCCAACTATGGACCCTGAAGTAAGAATCATCTGCCTGTGTCAAGCTAATCGATTCCTCAAGGACCAGATCCAGGACATTCTAGACGTTGCCAATTTCTCTGACCTCGTAGACTATGCTCTCACACACCACACATGGAGCTTGGCCCACCATGATCACCTACCTTTCCTGTTATAATGGTCGCTAGTTCTGTGCTTTCAGCATCTTAATGTGCTGTGGTTCCTACACCAGAGCCAGTTCACAACATGGCTGCTGCACCAGAGCCTGTTCACAGCATGGCTGCCACACCATAATCCTCAGCCATCATGGCCACTACGCAAGAGATCTCTGCCATCATGGACGCTACACCAGAGTCTTTAGCCAACATGGATTCCACACCAGTGTTTCCGGCCATCATGCAGGTTGCACTTGAAGCTACAAAGGCAGTCCCTAGGCATGTGAGACTGGAGTCCAGTTTGGTGGACCCATCACTGGTGTCTGTATGGGCAGTTGGCATCCCCAGGGCATGTCTTCAACTCTCTCAAGTCTGGCAATACTTTCAACTTTTGTTATCCTTCCAGTAATGGCTGTTGCCATTTTGTGTCTGGGCCATACACACTTCCTTTAAGGGGAGCAACGACCACTCTAGATCATCCCGAGGCGGCACCCACTCCAGATCCTTTAGTGGCAGCAGGCACCTAATCCAGTCCATGAGCCTGCTCCGGAGTCCGTTCCTGTCCATGAGTCCGCTTCAGAGCCCACTCCAGCCCCAGAGCTCAGTCCTGTGTTGCCACCAGCTTCTGAGCTCTCAACCTGCCCTGACAGGACCACTGAGGTTGTCCTTGTACTCTCTGTCTGCCTTGATACGATACAGAGATCATCTCTTAACCCTTTGTCTGCCCTGTTGTGTGCCAAAGAGGCTGCTCTTGAACTCTCTATCTGTCCCGTTACAGCCAATGAGACCATCCCAGAATCCCTTGCCTGTTCTGTCATGGCCAAGGAGGCTGTCTCTGAACCCTTAGCCTGCACTGTCACGGTCAGAAATGCCATCTCAGAACTCTCTGTCTGCCATGTAGCAGAACTGTCTGGCTGTCCTGTTATGGCCACAGAGGCATTGTTAACCTTTCTGTGCTCTGTGCTGCCTGATCCACTGTGGTGGTTTACTGCTCCACCTGCTCCTCCATGATGGACAACTGCTCAGTCTGAGCCATCTTGGTGGTCCCATACGCCATGAGCTCCGCTGAAGTGGTCTTCAGCTCCACCCTGGTGGTCTTATACTCCAGAGTGCCTTCTGGTGCCTATCAAGGGCAATCCATCCTATTCCATTGCCACTCTGTCATGGACTTCATCTCTCATAATCCTTTGCTTGGACTCATCATTACTGATTGCATTCATCTGTGTCTCATTAACCCTCTGGGGTCTGAGAGGGTTTGGGGGCACTGAAGGAGTTTTAACATGCCCTGACATTTGTGTTTTTTTCAGTATCTTAAAAACAAAATCAAATATGATTAAAATTGGATTGGCACAAACTGGGCTACAATAATATGTGAGCAGCATGAATGTACATGTTTGTGTTTTTGAGAAAACAACATATATGTGTTGTTAGTGAAAAACGAAAAGTCACTGAAATAAGGCCCTAAAACACATACAGAACATTTGTTCACAAGACCTTTGAGAACAGGATGTCATAGACTAGAGTTTTTGCCACAAAATGATGTGAGAATTGTCCTGTTTACTCATTCACAGAAATATATATATATATATATATATATAGAGAGAGAGAGAGAGAGAGAGAGAGAGAGAGAGAGATTTAACATTTGTAAAACATCTTTTGTGATTCACACCTGAGAGACAAAGGGCCTTCCATAATGAGCCATCAGTTAGTAATGTGTCTGTGAAGCTGGAAACAAAGAATGTGAGGAGAGTAAAATAATGGGGGTTAGTATTTGTATTTTATTTACAACACAGTATAATAAAAATTTACACAGTGAAGGTCAAAGATACATTATTGAGCACACTGATCTAAACACTGAGAACAGTAACTTGAACAGTAAGACACAGTTGTGTCATTGGTGAAACATATCCTGTTCAAATGTTGAAACAAGTAAACCATACCTGATATTTCCAGTGTCTGCTGCTGCTTTCCATGGATTCAAGAAAAAAAATAATACATCGTCAGTAGTCATGGAGTTTATTTTACCATATATTATGTTAAACATTAGCCCAAAGTAGTTGAACATCTGATGATGGTACAGCGCTGTCAGAGAAAAAAAACATCTGTTAGCATGTTGATATAGGAGCAACTATATTATCACATTAGCAATCACTAATATTGGTCACTCATAACGCCTAAATAAAAATAAATAAATAAATATATGATTTTATAGTCATAAACACAAGCGTAATTTGTATGTATTATACAATACAAAAATATTTTATATCTGGGAAACTAAATTATTATTGTTAAGGATGTCATAAACATCTACATATATTTGCGAACAGAGTCTAAACAGTCTGAAGTTTTGTCTAAACATTCTTTAGTGTTACAGTGTAAAAACTCATATTACTTTTATATTGTATAGTTTTCTATTTTATAGAACATTAAAAACATCCTGGCATTGTGAGACATTTAGATGCAATGAAATGAAACATACTACATAATGTTTCACTTGATTATACATGTAGTCAGGAATTATAGTTTGGAAAAAGTCTAACTAGTAAAATATGTAGGGGAGCACGCGGCACAACCTAACACTTTTTGAATTTCTCAGTTTGTGTAAATCCACGTGGGGTTCAGAGTATAATTTTTTTTATCCACATTAATTTCACACTTGTCTAGGTACAAATATTTCTCTTTGTTTCAAAATTACAGTGTATATATTTGTATATAATGTATTTACCTCAAAAGAAAGGAAGTGAAATGTGACAACTAGGTGGGGTACATTGTAACATGACCATATGACAGCTTAAAATGTTATCTGATCCAATGAAAAAAAACAACAACAATATTTTGTCAATAAAATGTAATTATTAACTTTTTCAAATAAAATAATGGCATTTTTTAAGAATTAAAAATAATCTAATTTTGGAGTTTGATAATGAACACATCACAACCATGCTTGCGTAAATAACAGATTGGAAATTAAAATAATAGGAGATTTATCGATTTTATTTATTTATTTATCTTATTTTAAATGAATGCTAAAAACTGAGATTTACTTGATTTTTTTTTTTTTTTTATTAACTGATTTAATTGATTTAATTAACTGGATTTAATGGAAAAAATTACTTCAGCCAGAAATGTACTTTTATTATGGTAAAATAAATATTAAATGATATATTCAAAAGGCTTTTGAATGTTGGCGCTCTTTTTTAAAGTGTTGATATGGCAACTAGTAAATACCGTAAATTCGGTTATGCTAGCATGTGTGGAAATATTTAAACCACATGTTACAACTAACCCGAAGTTAGTTTGTTCCCCGTACTCCTTTACAAGTTTTGTCACAGTAACAATAACAGCTAATGCAAGTAGGCTAATAAAAGAAAGACTTACTCATGTAAAGAATCTCCTCCACTGGATCAAGCTGCCAGTCGCATCTCCTTCTTTTTCTGAGGTAATCCAAAGCTTATTCCTCTCAGCGCATCTTTTTCTGAGGTAATCCAAAGCTTATCCCTCTCAGCGCGTCTTCTTACAGAAACGAACAGTAGTCGAGATGAACTTGAAAAGTCTTGTTGCTTTGTTTACGGAGGTGATGTGGGTGTTTACATGCCGCACGTCTCACATGGACTATTGTAATATCAAAAGCGAAAGTAGCTCGTGGGCGTGATCAAATTAGAGATAATGATGTCATACGGAAAAGACTGGACATCGCGTTGGCTTCATTTGGACTACTTTATCAGAGAATATTAGTTTCTCTTCAGGAACACGAGCTGTGTCGGAAAACGCTTTGGGAACATCCCCAGCGTAACCATGCTCTGAATCACATATGAAATCAGTCCAATAGATGGGCGAGACATCATGGGCGAGTGACGTTGCGACCAGGAAGCTATAAAAGCACGTGCGGTGGATCCGGCATTTTTTAAATGAATCTTATCACACCAGACCGTGTTTACTTCTCTGGTTGTTGGCTGCATTTTATTCTGAGGAATTAAAATGAAGTATTTCTTCTGACTATGAGATCTTTTTCTGAGGTAATCCAAAGCTTATTCCTCTCAGCGCATCTTTTTCTGAGGTAATCCAAAGCTTATCCCTCTCAGCGCGTCTTCTTACAGAAACGAACAGTAGTCGAGATGAACTTGAAAAGTCTTGTTGCTTTGTTTACGGAGGTGATGTGGGTGTTTACATGCCGCACGTCTCACATGGACTATTGTAATATCAAAAGCGAAAGTAGCTCGTGGGCGTGATCAAATTAGAGATAATGATGTCATACGGAAAAGACTGGACATCGCGTTGGCTTCATTTGGACTACTTTATCAGAGAATATTAGTTTCTCTTCAGGAACACGAGCTGTGTCGGAAAACGCTTTGGGAACATCCCCAGCGTAACCATGCTCTGAATCACATATGAAATCAGTCCAATAGATGGGCGAGACATCATGGGCGAGTGACGTTGCGACCAGGAAGCTATAAAAGCACGTGCGGTGGATCCGGCATTTTTTAAATGAATCTTATCACACCAGACCGTGTTTACTTCTCTGGTTGTTGGC